TGAGAGAGTCATTCAAAACAATTTTTTTTTCTTCTTGTGTCATTGGACCGTGATCAGGGGTCGATGCTGTAGCAAAAGATGAAAGATTAGATTGGAGGAAAGGATCGATTAAACGGTTAGACTGCAAACAAGTATTGCTTTGGAGCAAAGGTCAGTAACCTTCATAGGAATAGTGATGATGATGATGATGATGATGATGATGATGATGATGATGATGATGATGATGATGATGATGATGATGATGATGATGATGATGATGCTAATGATAACGATAATGATAATGATAATGAGGATGAGGATGAGGATGAGGATGATGATGCGGTGAGCAATGGGGAAGACGACAACATGGTGGTTGACAGCTTGACAAGCCCAACTCAGGTCTCTCAGGACAGCTCTTCATTGATACATACACCTCCACCTACACGTCGCCTACCTCCACCGCCCACCCTTGCTGAGAAACTTAACAAATTAATTCAAGTTAACTTGGATGGGATGACATGCAGATGTCATATTTTCGAGACCACAAATTACTCGAAATCGGACTCCGGCACGGTTGCTGAGGCAGTTTTATCTGCGGTGCTGACATCAATGGAGGAAGCCTTGAACAACTCCTTTCACAAGTTGAAGATCCTCCCTATCTCCGACGACACTTATAAACAACAGAACCAGTGGATCCGGAACTCGGTTGAGTTACGCAACAAAATTTTGTCCTACCGCGCCCTGAGTCTTCACTGCGATATGGAATATGGGAATTCTCCTTATGCAGCAACCAACAGCAAGCCTGGTGAGAAGAAACTACGTACCCAAATGCGGGTCGGCTTTGCAAGGGACACGTCGGAAGAGGCGGTACAGGACTGTCTTCACACTGGTCTCCGTTCCCAGGGTCGCGGTGCCGGATGTTGCCCTTCGCCGCTTCAATATGGGGACATTGTTAAAGTGGGTTGCTTTGCCTTCATTCCGCCAGAGGTTAACTTTGAAGCCTATGCAAAAGAAATCATGCGTCACTTTGACTTCTCTATCCCTATTGGAATCAAGATGGATTGGGTTTCTACACCTTACACAGGACGTGCTAAATTCAACAAACGTTCCCCCGGTGTAACAAGTCCTCATGGGTACGCTCGCAAGATTCATGCCAAAAGAGTGGACCGAGAATTAAGAAGCCTTCTTGATCCATCCACAGCAAAGCCAGACTTCCCCTTTGCTGCTCCGGCTACATTTATTAGTGATTGGAAGTCTGCTCAACAGGGATTGATCAGTGTGAAGGCCTACGGTCCGGTCAAGGATGCTACCCTCACCCTTATTAGCAAACTATGTGATTACTACATCCTGACAGAGGTCCTGTATTTGGTCATGGATCTTCCTGGGATGTTCAAGTTTGCAACGACTACTATGTTTGGCTCATGCACCTTGTTTAAGCTTCTCTTGTCGATCAAGGCAACCCCAGCTCAAGCCGACAAAGCTTCTCATGCCCCCCAATCAACAACTGAGGCTGATGACTCAGACAATGACTCAGACGATGACTCTTCTGACGACGATCCCAATGAATCCTCTGGCTCTAAAGGCGGTCAATTCACAGAAGTTCGGTCTAAGAAGGCGGCAACAAAGGTGAGAAAGAAGGCAAAGAAGAAGAAGAAGTTGATCACTGATAATGAGAATCCGTTCCTTAACGATCTCTCCCCCGCCCAACGGAAAATGGCTGATGTTGCTGACCGTAAGCTGAAGAATGATCAGGTGCGTTACAAGTCCGGTCCGCCGTTCTTGATGGTTCTACCAGGCGAGATGGAGGGCACCTACATCCTGGTGTGTCGCAAGAAGTTTGGACAATTGGCTCGTAACGTCTTGAAGGGCTTGGTCCCTTTTCTGACTCATCACCTGTATGAGCCAACTCTGACAAAAACCGATCAAGCCCTCCGTAAATGGGTGCCGCAATCAGAGATCAGTATGGCTCGACGTAAGAACCTCAAATGGTGCACAAACACACTTTGTGCTGTGGAGGCTACCGCCTTGCCAGACGCGGTTGAGGAAGCACTGGAGTTTCTGGATGATGTGATGGAAGACGCAACGGATGTCTACGATGGTCAACTTTCGATTGATTTGGATATGGCTAACAACGAAGACATTGATGGACAAGATGCAGGAACGGGGGCAACAACTGGAAGATGCCTTCAACGAGATTGAGATTTGGGATAATGCACTGGAGGCTCAGGAACGCGCCTTGGCACAACAACGTGCGGACAATGCGGCACTGCAAGCACAGCTTGCTGCACTCCAGAGTCAGGCCAGCCATCTACCTACCATGATGAGTCAGCCATCTCCCACTCTACCCCATAACAATTGCGTGTCTCCTGACCGTCAAGCATTGACTCCACCGGTCAGATCTAGCAACAAAACCTTAGGCAAGTCATCCACCGGGCAGAGCACCATGGTTCCCAACACAGTGACACAACCAAAGAAGGCCACCAAGCAGGGCAAGCCACCAAAACAACCAGCCAAGAAGGCCCGCACAAGTGCAGGTGTCCAATTTCAGGAACCATCTTCTGCCCAACCCTCGGCGGTCTCGGCTGTTCAAGTAGACATATCTCACATGGAAGGGGACAACACTACTGCCGCATCTCAAGATGAGAGCCAAACCTCATCTCTTACTGCGTCTACTCCGCGAGGTGGAGGGTCTCCATTCTTCTCTCCTCCTCCTGGGAAGGCGCACAGTGATGGCGCCAGTAAATCCTCTCGGTCCGCCTGTGGAGCTCCTTGCTCCGCGGAGGGGCCATGAGAGGCCCATGATCGTCTGCAGCTAGGTCACGGCGTGCAGGCAGAAGATCCCGTATTAGTGGCCCGTCAAGTGGAGTCTCCCATGCTTCACTTGACGAATATTTACGTTCTCTTCCAAAAAGGGATTGGTCTGGCGATGATCACCGCCGTCATTCCTCACTGGCTACTCGAATCTGTTTCCAGAATGTCAACGGATTACCAGAAAATGGCAATGACTCCAATCAGCAACAGATCAACTCCTGGCTGAAGGAAGAACAAGTGGGAATTGCGTTGTTGGCAGAGGCCAAGACGTTTTGGCCTTCTATCAATGAAGGTCACGGTTGGAGTGACAGACTCTGCCAAGCTACGATGAAGTCCCAGCAAAAAGGGTTTTACTTGTCGGTAGCTTACAATCAGCATCAGGACAGATCTGCTGCCACCTCGGCGGTACAATGGGGCGGGTGCATTGCAACCGTTTTGAACCAAGTGGCGCACAGGGCTAAGGAAGCTGGCAGAGACCCCACGGGTTTAGGACAATGGGCCTATGTTTGTCTCCAAGGAAGGAAGTTGAAAGCCCATGGGGGTAATGTTCAGGACTCTTTGGTTGAGGTAAATGACTTAGTTTGTGGTCCGATCTCCAAGGACTTGGTGGTGGTCTCCGCGTATCGTCCCAACAAGCAAGGCCTTGGTGGATCTACAGTATGGGCACAACACAGGCTTCACTTTTGTTAATTGGACCAGAGAGTGTCAGTCATTTGTACATATAGTTTAACCTAGAGATTCGCACACATCTTGTAAAATCCCCATGTTTGTCATTGTACTTGTTTTCATCCCAAATCTCTTGTACCTCGCTACTCAATATAACGGTTTGTCAGACCCACGCAATCCACAATGGATAGAGGAGCCTGGGAAGGCTTTCGAATAATATCTGTTTGAGGAAATTGCCTCATTCAGCCATGGTTAGGATCACCATTGTCATATCGATCTGGTGATTTTGTCATGCCACAATTTCGGCGTTCGGATGCGCACCAAAGGCAAATCACGTTGCAGCGTTAAAGGCTAAACGGCAGACGTGCCATGCGTGCAACCATCCGTGCCACGTTTATATACAGCTCTCAATATGAGATGCTTTAACATTTAGGGCTAAATTATTTGAAGTTACCAGATATCACCAACGTTTGCCTTCTGGCGATTCTCTCCAGTGATTTCTGACTTCAAGTCCAACACTTTTTGACCTGAAACCAAACAACAAATCAAAAACAACAAAATTGTCAATCACAATGGCTGCTGTTATCCAATTTTGTAACTGGTGCAAAACCAATCTCCTTATTCGACCCGCCCTCGTGCAACACATGACGGACGTTTGACTCTGTTGACTCCTTCACCAACAGAACAACTTCTCAAGTTTGTGAAGACATCAAATCTATGCAAAGAGCTCCAGATCCCACCAATGCAAATGCGACTATTGGAATCACCGCTCGCCAATCAATGACTATTCATTGTATCTCCAAATTTGGGAAGCTACTCATCTCGGTTCAAAGAACCCGTACTCCAGCCCTTGGAACCATCCCAAATCTCTTTTTTATTGGTCAGTTCTATGATGAAAATCCGGATCTCATGGAAGGGGACTCCTACCCACTTCCTCCTCATCCTCCAAAGTTCAACAATTGCAATGGCCAAATCATGATGGAAAACATTGAAAGTTGGGCTCGTACCGCCTACAGATATTGTGGAATTTGTCTTGATTATGTTTTCCGTGAAAATTCTGAACTTGCAGTTGCTGGTGACCCTGGGTTCCTCCGAGCCGACGACGGCTCTCAATCCATCAAAGAAGAACTTGTCCGATGTGCTGCCCATACTGGTGCTGTGTTCTGTCACAACAACCAGAAATTTTGGGTTATGCTCCATGCAGTCACACATGAAACCGTTGCCTACAACCATGTTTGTCAATTTGCTCCAAGTTTGAATGGTCGCCCTGCTTACTTCGCTCTGTTTGCAGAATATCGTGGAAGGGGACATTTCACAAATGAACGCCAAGCTGCTGTCCGTGTCCTTGCAACACTTCACTGGAACGGCAAAGCCGAAGGCTTCACATGGAATAGTTTATCAGTCGCCTTATTGGAGCCTTCAACACCCTCGAGTTGAACGGTGATCCACGCTCTGATGCAAATAAGGTTGACGTACTTCTCGAGAAAACTGTTGGAGATTCCTCACTCTCTAATGGAAGATCACATATTACTGGAGATGCCGTTCTCCAATCAAATTTCCAAGGTTCCATCAATTATCTAACAACACAAGTTTTAGCTGCCAGTAACAACAACACCCAGCGCCGCAATTGACAACTTGCTGCTTTTACTCATGGTGGTGGCGGACGCGGTGGTGATGGTAGAAGCGGAGGTCGTGGCTGAGGAAATGGCACCTCAAACCGCTTGCAATCAAGTGTACCAGATCGCTTTAGCCGCAATGGTATACTACTAAATGATGGAGGTCATTCAAATCAAATCTGGAGAGAGGAGTTTACACAAGAAGAAAGAAATATCTGCTTAGAAATGCGTTGCAACCGTCGCAATGGTGGTGGTCGTGGCGGAAGAGGCCGTGAAGGCCGTGGTGGTCATGGTTATGGTATCAGCGCTGTCCATGATGGACGGCTGATCAAGAAGAAACAATAGAAGAAAGTAACAATGATGGACTTTGATTCAACACTCCCAACTGCTGCTTGCCTTGACCGTTTACCGCAAGTTTTAGGGGACAGCAACAATGTTGTATGTGGCGTACACAGTTTGACAATTCGATCGATGAAAACTTCCGGAAAATCCTATCTCATCAAGCCGGATCAACTTGCTTGTCGATGGAGAACCAGTATCAAATGTGCTTGTCGCACTCTGGAGAAGACAACTCAACTTGCCGTTTGTGATTGGTCTGAAGAAAAAGGCTGATGGAGTTTCTATCTCTGAAGAAGAACTTGATCGCATTTGGCATAAACACAACATGCCAATCTCTGCAATTGAGGATGGTGGTTACCTGCAGTATGCACAGTATGAAGATCATTCACAAGAAGATCCTCGTCACAAGATTGTAGATGATTTTGAAGAGCCGCCGGATCAAGAAGCAGATCCTGTTGAGTTCGATAAATATGTCTCTGCAAAGGTATCTTTTAATGCAGATGGAGTTGAAACTTTTGGAGTTGTTCAAGGTTGGAAGCGTGACTCATCTCGAAAATTGATTGGTCATTACCACGAGAATCCACACCTTGACACATCTATCTATCAAGTGGAGTTCGAGGATGGGAAGGTGGAAAGCTTCTATGCAAATCAGATTATTGAAGGGATAATGATGAATGTCGATGATGAAGGTAACACGATGTA